GGGTCCCTGGTGGCCTGCCTGCCCTGGATGGCGGTGCGCTGGCGGTTTGCGCTGTCCCGCCGCCCTGCCTGCAGTATGCAAATTAGCTGCCATCTTTGTTGGCAGTTAATTTGCATATTGTGCTGATTAGCCGATGGGAGGCGTAGCGAAGGTATGGTCAATTACCATGTTTGTCTATTATTAGATAGGACTAGAGGCCTGATGCACGAAAATTCATACAAGAGTAGGCCTTCCTTCCCCTGGCTGCTGGCACCGGCTTCCCTCCGGCACCTGGGACCCGGGCTTCCCTCCTCCAGCTGCCAGCGGACACCTGGGACCTGAGCTGGCTTCCCCTGGGCGGCCCGCAGGCACCCAGGACCCAGGCTGGCTTCCCCCTAGCCCCAGCTTCGTCAGGAAGGACGTCTGGGATGACGTCCGGAAGACATCCGGTCTAATTAGCATATTACCCTTATTATAGATACTAGAAGACTGATGCACGAAATTCGTGCAAGGGTAGGCCTTCCTTCCCCTGGCTGCCAGCACCGGCTTCCCTCTAGCACCCAGGACCCGGGCTTCCCTCGCAGCCCTGGCTTTGTTCGGAAGGTTGAAGGTCGTCTGGTCTAATTAGCATATTTCACTTTTATTATTATAGATAGTATTTCATTCTATTACTATACTATGGTTTGCTTAGCCATTTCTTGCTTGCAGGGCATTTAGATTTAAATAGCTTTGCTAGAGCCTGAACTGGTTTGGCTCAGTGGATAGAGCATCGGCCTGCGGACTGAAAGGTCCCAGGTTCTATTCCAGTCAAGGGCATGTACCTTGGTTGTGGGCACATCCCCAGTAGGGGGTGTGCAGGAGGCAGCTGATCAATGTTTCTCTCTCATCGATGTTTCTAACTCTCTATCCCTCTCCCTTCCTCTCTGTAAAAAATCAATAAAATATATATTTTAAAAAAATAATTAAATAAATAGCTTTGCTAGAAAGTATTTAGCAGGAATTACTTGCATATTCCCAAATATAAAATTACTAGTTCAAAGGCAAGATGCAATTTTATAGCTCTGTTTAATATTACCAGGGTTCTTTCAAGAGAGATGAGTTTGCTTTACCAATGCCATTAGCTAAATGATTTCATGTCTCCACAATATTTTAAAATTTTTATTTATCAACTTAATATCTATGTGACGGTGCTTAAAACATTTAAAAAATACATCAACTATTTATTGTGTTGTGTGTTCACCACCCCAAGCCAAGTCTCCTTTCATCACTATTTATACTCCCTTATACCCTCTTTTCCTTCCCCCCTTTACCCTCTGGTAATCCCTATGTTGATGTCTGTGTCTATGAGTGTGTGTGTGTATGTGGTAAGTTTGATTTAGAAGAGAGACCATAGAACTCTAAATTAAACTATTTCCATTAAAAAGTTTTTATGGTTGATTATGTAATCAGTCTTTCTAAGTATTTCTTTAGAATTTATAGTCTTGATTTAGGGTTTATCTGTAACTTCCTTAAAATGTTTAATGTAACAACTTTTCATGCTTGTAATAACTCCTTTGGGGACATTTTGAAAGCAGGAGTGAAGTAATTAAGTATCCCGTAAGGCTCTTTTACGTTATGTCAGTAATATTTTGGAGTTGGCCCTCTCTATTTAAGGCAAATTTCCAGAAGGAGAGGCACTTAATTAACTTTTGGATGAGGAATAAAGAAGTTTAGAAAGGAAAGTGACCTTAAAATTAATCAAATATTGTCCTCTCATAGTACATTGCTATTTTAATGATAAGAAAATTAAATCCTGTAGAGATTCCATGAGTGCCCCTAAGAACATATAAATAACTTTGTCACTTTTACTTTCTTGAGTGTATGCCTTGTTTCCCCATCTGGATTATAAATTCTTTGAAGGCAAGTAGAGGCCAAGTCCCTGGGGCCAGGGGACCTGAGGCTGCGCCCCCCCCCCCCCCCCCCCCCCCCCGTGCACAAATTTTGTGCACTGGGCCGGCTGGGACTGGGTCTTGCGTAATTTCAAGGCAGGGACTTGACTCTGGGTCCCGTGACGCATCCCAGACTCTGACAGGAGGGAGATTTTCATATACATTTTACTGATTTTCTTTCATCTCTGACACTTCTATTATAGAGAAAGGGCAAATAGCAATATTAAAATATTTCCTCTAATTAATTTCCTTTTAATGTGCAGGAATTTCATGCACCGGGCCACTAGTTGCTTGATAATAAGACTAAAAGTCTGCTCTCAACTTTAAAGCCTTTTCTTTTTCCAACTCTTAATTGTGACAATTTTCAAAATTCAAAAATGTTGAAAGGATAGTATAATGACCTGTATATCCACCAAGAGTATATCCCTAGAGTTAACAGCTGTTTATATTTTTCCCTATTTGTTTTATCTGCATGTGCATTTATATTTTAATTCTCATTTGAGGATGTATTTTATTTTTTATTGATTTCTAGAGAGAGAGGAAAGTAGGGAGGGAGGAGAGAGACAGACATTGATGTGAGAGAAACATCCATTGGTTGCCTCTCATACATGCCCCATCCAGGAATTGAACCTGCAGCCATTTGGTGTTTGGGAAGATGCTCCAACCAACTGACCCACCTGGCCAAGGCTGTATTTATATTTTTTAGGGATGAATGTCATGATGTCTGTAGCATACTTTTGCCCTTCATCAAAACCACATAAACTCATTAGTGTCTCATTTTCTTTCTCCTTCCTGTCAGTTTTTAACATTTGCTCTACTGCCATATTACAAGGATCACATTCTTACTACTTTTCAAATTTTCTTGTTTCACTATAAGGATCAGTATTTAAAACAGAGTATTGTAGATGTAGTATATTTACAAATGTTGCAAATTGCTCTATTTTATGTTAAAGATATTATTACTTTTAATTTACATTTCTTAGCATGTTTTAAAGGAGATGATAATCCTTAAATTTTCAGATTTTTACAATTTAAAAAAGGAAGAATGAATGAAAGTGCTATAAAAATAGTCATGATAAACTGACTATTCAAGGTGTGTTTTGATTAGTTCACTGAACAACAGAAAAAGGGTCCATAATATGTGTGTGTGTGTACGAGCATTTGGATTCTGATGTATCTTCATAGCAGTGAAAATTATAATTAGTGAACATTATTTTGTCAGAGTAAGCCATCAACTGGAATTTGGCCTTCACAACCGTTAATATATTTATGTATTCATGCATGTTGTAATGCTTATCTTTTTAGCTAAAATGACCAATGATAAGGTCTTGACTGTTTTATGCAGAGACACATTTTCTTTCTGTGTTTGAGATGGTGTTGCCATTGAATTGTAATTTCATTTGAGTAGAAATTTAGGAGTTGCTTATGACACTATTTTCAGTACTATATATGAAGACTAATGTCTTCCATCTTACAACATGAATATTGAATGAACATTTTAGTGGATAAGCAGTGTAGTTTAGATATTCCCGATTCTGAATATCATAATTATTTTATTTATTTGTTTTGTACTTTATAAATGTTAACTCATCAATACCCCATATGAGGTAAATACTGTTATCTCCATTTTGCAAATAAGGAAACTGAAGCACCCATGAGGAAATACATTGTTAAATAACTTGACCAAAGTTGCACAAGTAGAATTTGAACCCAGGCAAGCTGGCCCCAGAGTCTGTACTCTTGCTCTTATCTTTTGCATCTTTTCCCATGGCAATGTATTATTTATTTGTTGTACATCAAACATCTTGTCTTGCTTTAGGATGTTAACAAGTATAGAGGATGGGTTGAGAACACTAGTGAATGAGATTAAAATGACAAATGTGGCTTTATGCCATTGCAGGGAGCTTCATGATCACGGATTCCAGAGGCAGCCATAGCGGGCTAACTATAAAAATAGCTTGTCCCAAGTATATAACTCCTATTTAGTTGTTTTTGGTTAGCACACCAATTGCTTACTTGCTTTTTCAACTAAAGAATTTTGTCATGTATAGCAATGAATTCATGCTAAGAGAGTGGGTATGTGTTTTGGGTTCTGTGGGAAAAAGAACCTGAAATATACCTTGGAGAAATTTTGGGAGCTTTGGTAAGAAGATGTAGCTTTAAATTAGCCCATATTTCCTAGGAAACTGATACAGCTTTTCTTTCCCTCCCCCATTGTTGAACTTGATCTCATCTTGTAATTTTTTTTGCTGTTATTACCACATAGTTCAGCATCCTCAAAGTGATTGAAGCAGCCCTCCAAAGTTAGCTCATGTTGTCATTGTCCATCTTCTGTTTGTTTACAATTACACAAGTGCATGGGATTCTATTTCTGGTATAGCTGATCTAGAAATTTCTTACCAACTTCATAGCATATCTTTATTGCAATGAGAATGTTTTAAAACAATTAAAAAATAATTTTTGTGCTGCGGAATGAAAAACTGAGTTTGAAAATCAGATTTTAAAAAAACTATATTGATGTAGTGAATGATTTAGTTAAAATATTTATTTATTTTTTTTTTTATTTTTATTTTTTTTATTTTTATTTTTTAA